CGCCTCCAGCGGCTGCTATCATTACACCCGCACTTCCCAGAGGAGGCCGAGGAGGCTCCGAACAGTGGCCTGCCCAGGGTCACACAGGGTCAACTCCATGGAGACAGACCGTTGTTATTTTTTATTGAACAGATGGGGAAACCAAGGCACAGAGGGGTTAAGTGGCTTGCCCATCACCCCGATAATAAGCAGCAGAACCAGGGTTCTCACCCAGGCACTTGGCCACAGAGCTTTTACACACTTGCCCTCTGGCCTGACGGTGACAGTGGCAAGGATGAAGGCCAGGACATGGCACTCTGCAGCCTGCAGAGCTTCAGCACGCGTGGCACCTCATGGCCTCTCAGCCCAGGGGAGACCCAGGGCTCACAATCTCCACTTCACAGATGGGGGTAGCGACTCGCAGGGCAGGGACAGGGCCCCAGGTCTGACACCGAGGCCGGGCCTGCTGGGCCCCTCCGAGGAGCTGGACACACTGAGTTTGGCGAACCTGAGCAAAGGGGTTTTGGGCACCCGGGGCAGGTGGAGTGCCTGAGCTGGGAGGCAGGAGCTCTGGGGAGCGAGAGCTCTGGCTCTGAGAGGGGCTGGGGCACGCAGTGTTCCCTGCTCGCCTCGTTATTCTCCTCCTTAGCGTGGCCCAGTGACCCTGTTTCTGCTGCAGGATTTCTCCCCCTACCTGCTTGTGGCCTCTTCCCCCTGTGGGCGTGGCTGCCAGCCATAGGGAAATGGGGAAGGGGTCCAGCCAAGCCCAGAGCATCACTTGGGTCTGGGAGTCAGGGCTTCCCACTTAGTCTGGCTCACCCTGCAGCCCCGGTGAGCACTTACTCCGCTCTGCTTCCCAACAGAGCAGCTGGTCATCTGTCTGTCTGTCTACCTCCCTCTCCATCAGAACTGTGAGCTCCTTGAGGGCAGAGGTCACATGGACAGATCAGATGAGCTGTGAGCTCCCCGGCTTTGGAGACGCGTGTGGAGAGGGAGAGGCAGGCTGTGGCAAGGATGTTGAGCGGGGCAGAGAATGGAGCTGGAAGGTGGTGGCAGTTGGATGAAGGGTTCCGGGCCCCTCCGCCTCTTGGCTCTGAGACCTCCTGGCACGGGATGAGCCTGCGAGGCTCTGCCCACTGTGGGCAACCAAAATAGAACAAGGAAGCATGAAATTGACTTGGCAAGGAGGTCTCTTTGTGACCTTTGGGCAGGCGATGGCCTGAGGGTGGGTGAACTCAGAGCCCAGGGCTTTCGCACTGGTGGGGTACCCTCTCTGCATGGGCCACATTGGCATCCACACCAGGCGTCTGTGAGGAGTCACATCCCTGTACGTGTCTCCGTGGTGTTGGCAGTGTCCTCTGAGGTCTGCTTGCTGGCTCATTGGCTCAGGCGCCGACCCGCCTGGAAGCAGCCTGACACCTGCCCCTTCTTCCCTCTGTGAACGCAGCCCTGGCCCGATGCAGTGGGGTACCCATGCCTTCTCTTGTCACCTCACCCCACCCCACAATCTGGCAAAACAAGGCTATCTCCTGCCTTTGACAGATAAGTAAACCGATGCCCCAAGGATGTAATGTGTGGGCAGCAGCCACAGAGCCTGGCCCGAGGCCCAGTGTCCTTCCCAGTGGCCCTTCTGCCCCTCCAAGAGTGAAGTTTTCACACGTGGATGAAACCAGGACACGCAAGGCCTGAAGAAGGCACCTGGGGTGGTGGGAGGCAGAGAGGCGGAGAGGAAGATCATTCGCAGCAAATTATGTCTGGAGCCTGAGCCAGGGGCGCCTGGCGTTTCCTAGGTCACTGGAAGACTCTGCACCTCCCGAATGCTCGTGTTCTCTCTGGCCTCCAGGCCTTGGCTCCACCTGCCACCCCCCCCCTCCAAGTCTCCACTTCGAGTGTCCAGTCATTCCACAACTATTTCCTGCGCTCCCGCAGTGAGGCAGACGCTGTCCCAGGCGAGCTGTTTGCAGGGAGCAAGGAGAGCATTGTCCTGCCCCCTCAGGGGTTCCAAGGCCAACACATCAAATGAGCTGAGACAGGCTGGTGGCGGGAGTAAACCCCAAAGCAGTGGCTTAACACAATGAGGTCTATATTGCATTCAAATCACAGCCCAAATGGGTGGCCAGGGGTCCTGCTTCAGTGTCACTGCCATCCCCTAGCCTTAGATGGGGTCCCCTTGGACCCTCTGAGTCAGGCTGCCCAGTGAGGAAAGGCCGGGCAAGAAGGTTTCATGACTAGGTTTGGGAGGTGTGCCTGACACTTCTGCCCACACTGTCCTGGGGAGAGCTCAGCCACACAGCCACACTTGCCTGCAGGGAGGGTTGGGAAGTGCCTCCCGGGACGTCCAGGCTTGGTGAACCGCCAGCCACGCACTGCCAGGTGGATCACGGACACACTGTCTGAGTTTCCTGGGGCTGCTGTCACAATTCCCCAAACTCAGTGGCTTAAAACAGCAGAAATCGATCCTCTGGTGGTCCTGGAGCCTGGAAGTCTGCACCCAAGGGCTGGCAGGACGGAGCTCCCTCTGGAGGTTCTACGGGAGGGTCCTCCCTGCCTCTCCCGGCTCCTGGGGACTGTCGGCCACCCTGGCCGCCTGGGCTCGTGGCTCCCACCTTGGCTCTGACTTCACATGGCCTTCCCTCCCGAGTGCTTTCCTTTGCGTGTCTCTGAGGTTACTATCGTTGGACTTAGGCCCCTCTGTAGTAATCCGAGATGATCTATCTCATCTGAAGAACCCTCATAATTATATCCACAAAGACCTTTTTTCCAAGTAAGGTAAAATCCACAGGTTGTGGGGATGATGAGAACATGGTCCTCTGTGTTCGGGGGCCACCTTGCAGCCCACCAGCAGAATTGCCTGGACTCCTTACCAGGGCTGCAGCAAGGCCTCTTAGGGCCTCGCCCAGGGGTCCCATCTTCCCGAATTCTATTGGCCAAAGCAGGTCACAAGACCCACCCAGAATGCCTCTCTCGATGGGGGGTACGGCAAAGACATAATGCAAGACAGCGTGCACCGTGGGAGGGGTGGTCGAGGCTGTCTTCGAAAACCACCTGTCAGAGTCCGTGTGTGTTTTGGCAAAGCCACTGCTGAGGGTCCTGGACATGTGCTTCTGGTGACAGGGTTGCTGCTGAGGCCGGGGTTGAACTGTTCTGTCGGAGGGGAAGCCTCCAGGCTCGTGCCCTGCAGGCCCAGATCAGCCACCAACTCAGTGAGTGACCGTGGGCCAGTCTCCCAGTCTCTCAACAACCACACATGGAGTACTTACGGTGCGCCAGGCCCCAGGCGGGGCACAGGGGTCCCAGTGGTGAGCAAGCTGGGTCCCTGTGCAAATATCTATCTTACAGATGACAAAAACTCATAGCTGGACAAACTGATCACAGAGAGTGACATGTGGAAGGAGAACAGGAGAATGTTGGTCAGAGGAATCCTTGAAGACAAATAACCCAGGATGAACCGCCAGGGCAGAGAGCTGGGGGGGGGGGGGGGGCAGTGAGAACCCCTGCCCATTCCGGCCTCAGTTTCCTCCTCTGGGCATGCCGTGGACTCAAACGTTCTCTCCTGGCGTCCTAGAGTTGCTCGGAGGCACCCCGGGGGCTACTGCAGGAGGGGTCTGGGCAGGGGACATCTAGTTTGTGACTAATTGGGCTCGAAGCTTCTGGTCAGCTCCCACAGTCTAAGTTCCAAGCCAGCAGCATCCCAGTCTCTGATCCTAGCGACTTTCTGGGACAAAATTTTCTCAGGACCCTTCTTGTTCCTCAATGGTCCTGCCAGGGTCGTGGGTCCTGGGGAGACAGGGAGCCTCCCTTCTGTCTGTTGGACCCTCTGGTCCCCCTGCCGTCACAGAACAGACCTGTGCCAGGAGGCTTGCAGCTGCTCCCTCCCCTTTGAACTTGGGTTTGCTTGAACCAGAAGAATCCCAGGGGCCACCCACGAAGTGCCAGTGTGTCTCAAAGAGCTGGGGCTCTTCAGGGTTAGCCACTCCCCTCTCTGCAGCCCTGGGTGGGTCCCCTACCCTCTCTGAGCCTCAGAGTAAGCCCTGCCCTACAGGATGGACCAGAAAAGCAAGACCCCAGTGACAGCCAGGTCCTTCAAGGCTGGCTGGAGTCTGCACAGGGTGAGGTGACAGTTACTCTGAGGTCAAGAGAAGTGGCAGGAAAGATGCAGCCTCCTAGGGAGCCAGGTTGGGGCCAGAGGACCTGCCCCTGGTGCCCCTGCCCTGCCATTCTGGGAAGCTCCTGGCCGGGCCCGTCCCCACAGGAGTCTGGCAAGGCTTAGAGGCCAATTAGTCACCAGGCAAATCATTTACTTCATTTCAGCAATCTTTATTTCTGCCTTCCATCCCCGTGTTGGGAACTGGGTGGCATGGGGCCAGAGATGCCAGGCAATCATCCCCCTCTGGCCCTCAGTTTCCCCCTCGGTCACACAGGGAGGGAAGGTCCCCCTGTTTTCTTCATCAGGGCACTGTAAGGGCCAAAGTGACCGTACCCGGGCCCGAGCCTTTCGGCCCCCAGAGTGCTGCACTGGGGACCACCCAGATTCACTCCTGGCCCTCAGGGGGCTCTAGGGCTCTGAGGGAGGCCCATGCCCCACCCGCCACATCAGCTGGCAGGGAGGGAGAGCAGGAGGGACACAGCCCCACGACAAGGCAGGTTTGAGAGCCTCTCAGCCACAGTTCTGGCTTCACTGAGCTCTGCCCTGGAAGTTTAGGACTGGTCTCGTGTGGGAACCAGCAGCATCCACACCTGCACTTCTGGGTGGGCTTTTAAGACCCTCATGCACATCACTGTCCAGGGGGACCCCATGACATTTTCCAGGGGGCAGAATCTACCAGGAGGCGGAGCTGCGCCCCCCTTTTCTCAGCCATGTTGGGTCTTAGCTGTGACAGAGCCTTGGAGAGGACGACCAGAGCGGAGGGGCAGCGCAAGGCCCTCAAGTGAGGTAGTGGCAGAGGTCTCGGCCACGTAAGGCCAGGCAGACACGGCCATCTCATCCGGGCACAGCAGGGCCACCACGGCTTCTAGCGGCCTCAGCTGGTGGTGTTCAGAGGCAGCTCCGAGGAGGTTGGCTGGTTCAGGGTCACAGCAGGGAAGCTGGCAACGAAGCTCTCCCACCTTCTTCTCACCTGCTGGGAGACAGAGGAGCAGGGAGATCAGGGCACTGGTGCGTCAGCAGATGGTGGGCCTCAGGAGTTGTTCCACCTACAGCCACGAGGTGGTGGTAGACCCCAGAGACAGAAGCACTAGGGACCCTTTATTCTCCTGGAGGAGTCAGGGCCAGGACGCAGCTCCCACCGAGTGGCGCTGGACTGTCCCTTTCCCGGGTAAGGGGAACACAAGATATAACCCTGGGAAGTTGTACTGGCTGATCTCCTTGCCTCCAGCAAAATCCTCCCATCCAACACACTGCCAGATTCATCATCTTAAAACAGCTCTGACTATATCACGGGTCTGCTCTAAAGCCTTCCTGGGCTCTCTGGAATTTATCTATGGGCCCCCTGAGATACGGCTCCTGAATACCTCTCTCTCCAGCCTCATTTCCAAACAAACAAAGACAAAAGCTCGGTTGTCTTCCTGGTCCTTGGCCCGGTGATTTCTACCTCTGAGCCCTCACTGCCCTGGGTCCCTCTCCTGGGAGTCCCCACCCTCTCCCTGTAGCACTCATTCCTCCATCCATCCATCAGTCATACCTGCTGATACTGCCTCAGCCACCGCCGGCTGCCTCCTTGCCGAACCTGGATCAGCTGCTCCGTGTCCCCCAGGCCTCCTGGCTGCCACTCCTGATCAGGGGAGTCCAGCCTTTCTGGGCCCTCCTCTGAGGATCTGAGCTTCCCACGATCCTGTCGGAGACTCAGTGCCCGGCGCAGTTGGCCCTCCACGGGCTTCCCCCAGGGCTCCTGGAGCTTGCCATAAGAGCGCCGTGGTCCCCGAAAGGACTGGCTGCGTCGTCCTGTCCCCATGGTTCCAGAGGCTGTAGGCACAGGACTGCTCTAGGTCCTTGGCGAGTCACCGGCCTCTGAGATGGCCCGGTCCCTCCACTCATCTGACGGGAGCTCACTTGGGGGCAAAGGTTGATGCTGCTGAGGTGGCCATCATAAACCAAAGGGCAGGCCACGGGGGCCAAGCATCCCTGAGTCACCATCTGGGGCAAAGGGTGCAGGCCTCCCCCCTGCCCCCAACTCCCGCCTCAAGGCAGCCTTCCCTGACCACACCGTCCCCAAGGAGCTTGGCCCCCCCTAAATCTCTGCAGCCCTGGCTGTCCACACTTGCTCTGCTGAAACTCAGAACAGACTCAACAGCAGCAGCATAGAGATGAACTGTCAGAGACAGGCCAGCTCCAACCTACAAGTCAGAACACGGGGACAGGGAGGGGTATGGTGCCCGCGGGGGCTGTGGGAGGGGAGTTCTTTAACGGCTATAGAGCCCCGGCTTTGCAGGATGAGAAAGTTCTGGGATGGGGTCCATGACCGTGTGAATGCAACACTACTAAATTGTGCATAAAAATGGCCAAGATGGTAAATTGTATGTTTTTTGTGCATTTCACTACAACTGTAAATGAAAAAAAAGAGAAAGAAACAGGACAGCTGCAGGCTGGGAGATGGGAGACTGGATTTTCTCCAGCAGAGAACAGGGTCAGGAGCTCAGGTTCTGAGGACGAGCTGCCTCTGGGGAAACGGTGGCTTCATCACTGCAGGTGGGTGACCTCGGGCACCTCTGCCCAATGCCCTTGTCTGTAACAGGAACAAATAACTCGGAGAACTGTAGTGAGGATGCATAGGTGTGAACAAAAACCACCTCCGTCTTTGTGTCCTTGGGAGCTGTGACCTTTGACCAACCATTGTCCTTAGCAAGCACACCAGAGCCTTCTAGTGCTGGGCGGTCTGTGCCCCTTAAAGCAACATACCATAAATACTTTTATTAGTGATGGCTGGGATGAATACCAAACTGGTGACAGTTCCGCTGGGACTACGGCATTCTTTGTCGCTTTGTCTTGTCAATCAGTCATGCCTGAGTCATATTGCTAAAAACTGTACAGCTACAGGAGTCGTTAGCACAGAATAATTTGCTCAAAACTGCGGGGCCTTCCTTCCGCTTGGCCCTCTCATCCCGAGAGTAAATAACCCTATAAAAAAATGTTACATTCTACAGAATTGCTTGCTTTGTCTTTCGATCTGAAGACACTTTCTCCTTACAGTGGACATTCCACCTTTGCCCCACCATTGGACAGAGGATTAAATATGGTACCACTGTGCCCACACAGGGTGCTCAGCGGGTGCTCAGTAAAAGTGAGTCGGTGATAATTCATTACCCCAGGCAAACGCCTTCCCTTCTCTGTCAGTCTTGTTAGTAAAACAGTTTGTTGTGAAAATCAGATGGAATCAGGAATGTGATGCCTCTAAAATCGAGACTCCCTGTAGCCTCTTTTTCTCCCAAGACAGGGGTGAGAAAAAGTACTTGGGCTGTCCAGAAGGCCCTCACAATCATAGAGTTTGAGGGCTGAAAGGGACCTCATAATTCTGGTTCTTTTTGTTCTAATTGCTACCGTCTGAGCATTTTTCTTTGTTCCTCCCTGTATTTTCTTTAAGTATCATGACAGTCTGATGAGGTGGGTGTTGCTGTCCCTCTTTTCTAGATCAGGAACCTGAGGCTTGGAGAAATTAAGCACCTGGCTGGCCGGAGAGGCTGCTCAGGAAGTGGCAGAGCCAGGAGCCCCGCCCGGGTCAGCCTGGCCTGGAGACTGTGTGTCAGCCACTCTGCTCTGTGGCCTGTGTTGGTGGCAAGGGCAGGACTTGATGCCAGGGCTCCTACCTCCTCTGTGTTTGGGCTGCTGCACAGGGTGCCCCAGTCTGGGGTCAGGGAAGTGCTTGGCTGCAACTCTTGGCTCATTCCAGACTCATCCCTGGGCCTGGCCTTGCTGTTTTTCTTCTCTTTTGGTTTCGAGGCCTTTCTGGGTGAAGGGGCTCTTAATATCCACTGGGCTCAGACAGGGCCGGTGTGAAGAGGAGACGAGAAAGGCGGCCTTGGCTTTCTGTCCCAGCCCATCCAAAAGGTGGCCTGAGAGCCACACCCAGTCCTCTTCCCGACAATCCGGACCACACCCCTAAGGATAACCCACAGGCCACACCTGACCCTGGTTAAAAAGTAACAAAACCATTTCACAATCTTCCTCGCCCTTACCCCAGTGTAGCTAACTCAAATCCCCTCCCGCCAAAGTCAGGACTAGGAGGAGCTTGTGGACTCCCCCACTCCTGAGACGCCTGCGGCATGAATCACTCACTCCCGCGGTGGAGCGCACAGCTGCTGAACACCCTCTTGCTGTTAACAGGCAGGGACTGGGCCCGAGCAGGCTCCCTGGGCCAGCCAGGAGTGTGTGGGTTCTTTGTGTAGGAAAGATTTCACAACACAAGTCCAGGTGACTATGAGGGTACATTTATTAAAGCTGGGGACAGCACTGGCCACGTGGCTCAGTTGATTGGAGCACGTACGGGGGACAGCTGATTGAGGATTCTCCCTCTCTCTCTCAAAATCAATGGAAATATGTCTTTGTAAGGATTAAAAAAAAAAAAAAAAGCTGGGGATGGTAAAACAAGGAAGGGCTTAGCATGAAGAAGCAACAGGAAAGAGCCTTAGCTGGGCTCTCTGAGCCCACTGGGACGTCAGAGGAAAGAGGGCCTTGGAGGCGGGTTCAGGGAGCTAGCCCGGGAGCTGGGAGCTGCTGCAACCCACGGTTCCCCTGGGTGGGGAAGGAGAAGGGGAAAGGAATGGTGTGCACTGGATACTTTGTCTCGAGTTTCTCTGTCTTAGAGGCCGGAATCTTAGGGGAGGATTTCAGCAGAACGTGCATCAGGGCTCCAGGTGCGCCCTTTCAGGGTCCTGGTCTCCACCGACTGGTCAGAGCCAGAGCAGGGGGCCGCTAGTCATTGCATCTGGTCCTGGCATCACCCACCCGGTTTTGCTGCTTTTCTGGGCCTGGAGCTGAAATACAACTGAGGCCTAGATGTTATCCCCAGGGAGGTGACCTTCTGTACTTGGCTGTAAATTGCTCGGCCATTTTGTTCAGCTCTCCATCTCAGTTTCTCTTTTCTACTTGTCCCGGCTCACTGGCCTGTTTCACTGCCAGATGTGTAATCCTACAACTTCCCAAATCCCTAGAGGACGAGGAGAAATCTGTGTTCTCTTTCTCCCTCCCCACCGCCTCCCAGCCCTTCTCACCTGGAGAGCTCCTCCTACTCCCCTTTCTAGACCCTGCAGCCTGATGCCTCCCCCGGGAAGCTCGCCCGACAGCAACCAAATACACGCAGTAGCAGTTGGTTGTCCCTCGTAGGCTAGGACATCATCTTTTTCATCTCTCTGTCCTCAGGATATGAGAGTACTCAGCCTTAAATACTGGAGACTAATTACTGTAAAGGCCTGTCCAAATAAGGCTAGGAATGTAAAGGCCTGTCTAATAAGGCTAGGATATAGGGGCCTGTCCAAATAAGGCTAGGAAATTTTTAGGCGCCAACACCAGCTGCTCGCCAACAGCAGTCCAATCAGGAACTTTTGCCCTAGTTTGATTGAGCCAATAGCTAACCGCCACGTCTGCTTCTGTATCCCCTGCTTGCTTGCTTGCCTGCCCCTATAAAAACCCAGTAGTCTGTAAGCCAGGCGCGACTTCCACTTTGGCGGCTCTGCGTAGCCGCGAGACTACGGTCTCGTTTGGGAAGTTCGCCCCTGCGCAGGTAAAACTTGGCCAATAAATTTACCATCAAATCGCTCTCAGTGTTCGGGGATTCCTTTCGCTCGCAACTTGAATACAACATTTGGAGGCCCCAGCGAGATCTAAGGAGTGTCTCCGGAGACTGAGACTACGAAGCCCGGGTAAGTTTGCCGCGGAATTTGGTTTGGGAGTCTAGACTCATTTGAGCCGCGAGGTGGTAGGCGAGACGTCGCCGGTAGTCCACCCGCGGGGTTCTCAAGGAGAGGACGCTCTCGAGAACCGGAGCTCTTGCTCCCGCGACTAGGTCGCATTTGGTTTTTGGTATTCGTTCCGCGCCGCGACTGAACGCGCTAGCGAAGTGTGAATGAGTGAAGAGACTGTAGTGCGCCACGGCCTGTTTGTGCGTGAGTGGACTGAGTGGAGAGGAGCGAGGTGTGTATTTCTGTGTGGGATATTGGTAGCCCTCATCCTTCTAATCGCAGGCGCTGTGAGAAGCGAGAAAAAGGTGTCCGCGATGGGACAAGGCGGCTCCACCTCAAACACTGCCCTTGACTGCTTACTAAACAATTTTTCTGACTTTCAGAATCGCGCTCGGGGCTATGGGGGTCCACCGCCAGACCCAGAAGTCCTGCGAACTTTCAGTGAGATTGAATGGCCGTCTTTTGACGTAGGATGGCCGACGGAGGGGACTTTTGATCTGCCCCTCCTTTTTGCGGTCAGGCGGATAGTATATGGGACCCCCCATCCAGATCAGATGGTATATATAGATGTGTGGGTAGACATAGCTACTGACTGCCCCGGTTACATATGCCGGTGTCAGTCCAATGGGCAGAGGAGGAGAAGGGCCATCTGCGTGGCAACGGCGCCGAGGCAGGCTCCCCGTCTGCAGACAGACAAAGGGCGCCGGCCTCAACGGGACCAGGCAGACGGGGAAGGGAAGAAGCTATACCCTGTCTTGCCTGAAGTACCTGAGGACCCGCTGTTGGCCCCTTCCGCTCCTCCCCCATATCGCCAACCCCTGCCCGACTCCGCGAGCGGGGAAAGGGAGAGTCCAGAGCCCTCCCCATACCCGCGGCGGTACTCAGTATGGGGGTGAAAGTTTGGCGCCAAGACAGGATGGCGCCGCCATTTTGCTGGAAACGGTCGCGCCAAAACCAGGTGGCGCCGCCATTTTGCCTCTCAGGGAGGTGCCGCCGGCTCCAGACGCCCCATTACATGCACCACCGCGGCTAATATATGTCCCTTTCTCAACCAGTGATCTATACAATTGGAAACTGCAAAATCCCCCGTTTTCTGA